TCCTTCTTTAGAGTAAAATCCCAAGTTACGAGTTACCACTTAGTGTTGCCCCGTTCTTCTTCCTCTGTAATGTTGCCTCAGCATTAGTTAGTGTCAAATAACTTATCGTTGGCTTTTCTATGACATTTCTGCTTTGCCAAATACTGTTAGCGACGTATTTTTCGCTTGCTCAATGTTTGGCGATTCAGGTCGAAGCTGAGGTTTTAGTATATCTCGCGGGTTCTAGATTTTGCGACCCGGTTGGATCTCAAGATAGATCAAATGTGTTTACAATTTACCGGATTTGTTCGCTGGAACTATTTTTCTCGAATTGTAGGCAATTCGCGAAATTCGAGGAGATAATGTTTTCGCAAAAATGAAGTCGTTTAGAGCAGTTGATAAAGCTCCAGACATGAGCCAGATAGGAAACATATCAACCAAGAAATCAGCAATGAAGCCTACTTATGGCATTTCGTTGGTTTACCGAGGCCCAAAAAAGCCACGTGACAACCAATAAACTACGCATCTAGAATCTTAACCCAAGGTGTTACTTCAGTACCTTGGTATTCTGGATGATCAGATCAGAGGGTGGTACAGAATGGTGAAGAGCAACGACGACGTTGTAACCGCCGTCGCTTCCGTCAATGCTCGCTGGTGCAACTTCCTTCAGCGAAGCGAAAATGAAGATTACCGTAAACAACATTTCTTTTTGACGACCTGGAAAGAGAGCCCGAAATCGAGTTATACAAAAAGCGTCATCCTCCGAGTCTTTCTTCTTTCAAAATGTAGTGTACAGCTACAAAAAAAAGGAGATAACATTAGACGAACCCGTTGCGCTGACTACGAGCAAGAAAATAAAAAAATAGTTACAATTAAAATGCATTCATATTACTAATCATGAAGCACTATATTGTAAACATTAGAACGATGAAATGTGTGCATTTAACAGTGGTATCTCAACTAGTCGAATGGATACTGCGCATAAGTGCGCACCTACATGCTTTGAGTTCACCAGTACGCTCCACACTCCAATAAAGAAGATGGTCTCAAATGACGAAAGGCAGAATTTCGCCCAACGGACTACCATTAGATCCCCAAGGCGGCCATCTGGTTCGAGCTAGGCACCGTGCGCAAAAGCTGGGGATTATCTTCACTTGCTCGGAACTAACCGAGAGGCGTGCGCGAACAAGATCAGCCAGTAGTCCTCCAGAAGCAGGGTACACTGCGTGATTTATTCCTCGAAGGCAAGCGGAATGCTCACCTGAAACACAGCTAACATTTCGCTTGTTTCGCATTTCGCTTTCGGCGACAAAAATCTTGGCGGCAAGGAAAGGAACATTGCTTTCTTTCTTGCTGGTTCCTCCAGTAAAGTACACCCTATACATGTCTGCAAAATTATTTATTCCTTTGACAATATCGTGCTTAGGTAGACGTCGGCTCAAGAAGAAATTTTCTTCTCCCCTTTTAGTTTTTAACCCAGTTTACAGCACGTTCTTAAACTCTCGCCTTCTCTGCCGACCGCTAGCTGCACAATTTCACAAGGTTTCAGATCCCTCCGATGTGCGGTCCACTTACGCTGGCCGAAAAAAAAAAAAAAACGGTTCTATTTTACATGCCAGGTACTGGACGCCCCTGAATACCCAGCTCCGAGGTGCCACTAAAACACAACTCTCCTGCCTTGAAAAAGCGAATCGGTACGCAATAGCAAGGTTTGAAAATGCAAAGCTAAATGAGCTCACCTCTTCCAAGTGCACCAGTCAGAGGGATAATCGTAGAGGCTAATGCGTTCGAAGTGCGAGCTTGCTCGTGACTGGGAGCGTTTTTGTTATTATTTTGTGTTTAATTAAAGCTTCATAGTGAAAGAAGAAGCGACATTTAACACTGAAAATTACTTTGTTTTAGCTGTATGGAAGTATAGCGGTATTGTAAGCATTAAGATACCGTTCGGTTTACACTAAATGTGCAGTGCGACGGCCAACTAAAAAAAGTAGCGCGCCTCACCAAACGACCGAACAAAAAATATTGATTGATTTTGTAGCTTTGCAAGACACGCCCGTGAACCTCGATTAGAGCTGTTCACGCGCACTTCTTTCCACAACAATGCCACAATAAGTTGTCCACGGGCACCGTGGTAATTGGGGTGACTCCTGCCCATTTCTCCCTTCCAAAAACAAGTTGCATATATCCTCATTACCACAAAAGTCAACGCCGGCTCGAACGCCAGCCAGACTCACCGTCGCATCCAACCCACGGGCAACGAGATTACATAACGGGTATTTGGGTAAAATTACAACCGGGTTTGTCGAAATGTAAAATAAGCCACGTATCGTCGAACGCTCCTTACGTCTTGATCAAGGTTTGAGGCATATACAAGGTGTCATAAAAGAAAATTTACACGGTACTTTTTACCGCAAAAATAAACTAATCATCGCCGAACGCTCATTCTCCGCCCAAAAGTAGAGCTCGAGCTCACAACGAGATGCCAAAGTTTCAGCCCGATCCGATAACTTAATCAAAAGTTATAAGTGATTTTCCGGAAATTTCAATGGAAAAATGGAGCCCATTTTCACCCGTTTTCGGTTTCTGGTGCCATAGAGCCCCATCTGTTCGAAAACTCTGTTGGCCGCCATTTTCCCATTGAAATATTTAGAAAATCAGTTATAACTTTTGATTAAGTCATCGGATCGGGCTGACACTTTGCCATCTGGTTGTGACCTCTAGCTCTACTTTTGGACGAATAATGAGCGTTCGGCGATGCCTAGTTTATTTTTGCGGTAAAAAAGACCGTGAAAATGTTTTTTTTTTTTTGTGACACCCTGTACAATAGGTGGTGTCGTGCGCGCGTCGCAGCCACTAGATAATTTCCTTTCCTCGCTCGGTTTATTATTTATTTATTTATGAATACTGTTGGGGCTTTAACAGGTGTGGGGTATAGAAGAGCACTGAAACATACAACATCAGGACTACAATACAGTACACATTCAGCGACATTCACTTAAAATAAAGGGGCTGAAATAGCACAAACATTCAATATATTATATAGCACTCAACAAAATGAACACTCAGCACTCGAAGTCTTTAACGAAGTTTCCAAAAAATATTTAACTACTATTTATCATTCCAAACCAGTCATATTCAAAAGGGCGCTCTCAAAATCATTTAAACAGTCCAATGACAATATATTTTGTGGGAGATCATTCCAGTTTTTCACAGTTCTGGGGAAAAAAGAAAACTTATAAGCGTCAATATTACATTTGGGCACTTCAAACTGATTAGTGCTAACGTATCTGAGTTCTCTCGATGCGCGATGTGTTAATCTAGAATCCGGGTTAATGTTATACAGGTGATTAGAAAACATAAAGAAAAACTTTAGTCGAGCAATTTTTCGACGGACAGAAAGTAAGGGGAGGTTGAGGCTGTTCAGCACATCTGTGACAGAATCAAGTCGCTTGTATTTGGTTAGAATAAATCGCGCCGCCTTCCTCTGAACTTTTTCGAGTTCACCAATTTGATTTTTTCTATAGGGGTCCCATACCGATGCAGCGTACTTCAAGGGAGGCCTAATATACGTTGTGTAGGCCATTAACTTCAATTTAGGCGGAGCACTGGCCAGATTCCGTCTTAAAAACCAAAGCTTTTTCATTGCTTTGTGACATATTTCATTTATGTGTTTACTCCAACTTAAGTCTTTAGAAAGTGTCACACCCAAGTATTTAAAACTATCAACTTCAACCAAAGGACTCCCATCAAGCTCGTAAGTATAAGAAAGAACATTCTTAGTTTTGTTAGTTATTCGTGCGAAAACAGTTTTTTGTGTATTAATTTTCATCTTCCATTTCGAGCACCAGTCCTGAATAGACCCAACAGATGCACTTAATCTGCGCTGGTCGTCTTGCTCCTCGATTTTTGAAGATACCAGACAATCATCCGCAAATAGTCGCACAGTAACCCCTTGATTTATTTCCGCCGCGATATCATTAATGTAAATTAAAAATAATACTGGCCCGAGTACTGACCCCTGGGGGACGCCCGAAGGCACTTCAGATACAATTGAACGGTCACCGTTAACCTCTACATACTGCACCCGATTAAATAAATATGCCCTGATCCAGAATATCACGGAACATCTGCTGGGGTTGCAAGCAACCCCAGCAGATGAGCCTTTGATAAGCGGCTAGTATAATACACTGTTGCAGGGCTAGTTTCTCGTGCTTCTCTGTGGGGGATACACGTCTTTTTAAAGTCGTTATCCGGGTGTGCCGCGTCCTGTACAACTTGGCACTCGCGCTACACGCGTTGCTTATTGTGAATTCCACTGGTTGATCGGACGTTCATTTCGAAATTCGCGAGGGAGGCGAAGATCCACTCCGTGGGACCCGCTGCAAAGGTAGATCATTTCTCGTTCCTGGAGAGACCCGTCGGAAACGGTCTGTCGTTCGAAATGACCTCTGTACGAACTTGACAAGCCCATTAACATTGAAGCCGACTGAGTTTTTTGGCTACCAATCAGTACGGTAACTGCCCAGGTGCGGAAGCAACACGCGACACATGCCGGGCGCATTCAGTCTCGTTCACAAAGTTGCGTTCGAGTGCGACTGCAACCACAAGCGCCTCGTTAAGACTGCCTGCGTCGTGCTGTTGCTATTGTCAAACTTTCGGCGAGCCATCGGGGAGGCGCTGTGCTGCACGACACAACGTAGCGCACCGCGGTCGAAGCAAATGGGTATGCGAGCCTCTATTCGTACCACAGTTGTATCGTGCAAGTCAAGTCTACGTTGAATGTAAACCGCATTGTCATCTTTCCTAAGAGATTAACATGAGCCACGTGCCTAGTACCTGCACTGGCCGCGTCGGCCTATATTACGAACTGCTTACCGAATAGACGTCGTTGTTGACTTGCTACAGCCTATCTGATACATGGTGTCAGAAGTGGGATGCCGTCCACGTCGGTGATAGCTCGAAGAAAAGAGCGGAACGCAGTAGTTTTCAACCTAATGGAACTCCTCAAGCCACCGGAGCCGCTGCTTCTATCCGGGAACGTTCCCAAAAACTGGGAGCTGTTTCGACAAATGTTCGAGCTGTTCCTGAAGGCAACGGCTTTACCAAAAGAACCAAGGTCTGAAGCCGTCAAGACCGCGCTGCTGCTGAGTGCTGCTGGGGACAACGTCTTGGAAATATTCAAAAATTTTCGTTTCGCCGAGGATGAAGTCCAGGATGACTACGGAACGGTGGCGACCAAGTTTGAGGAGTACTGTCGCAAACAGCAGAATGAGGTCTATGAAAGGTACATATTCCGGACACGATTGCGAGTGGAGGCAGAGCCCTTCGAACATTTCTTGCGTGACTTGCGGAAACAAGCAGGCTGCTGCAACTTTGCGCAGTTAACCGACTCGGTTATCAGGGATCAGGTTGTGTTCGGAACAAATAATCCGAAGTTCCGGGAAAAAATGCTCAAGGAAAAGGACCTCACGCTGCTCAGGGCCGAACAGATCTGCAAAGCAGCGGAAGTATCGGCTCTGCAGAGCGAGGTGTTTGCGCAGGGGGAAAAGCTCGTGGCGCCCGTAAAAAAGAGGCAGCCATACAAGTGTGGCAACTGCAACCGCCAGCATGAGCGTGGGAGATGTCCGGCATTTGGAAAATCGTGTTTTATGTGCAGAGGCACTAATCACTTTGCGGTATGTGCAGAGGCACTAATCACTTTGCGGTATGTGCAGAGGCACTAATCACTTTGCGGCGTGCTGCAAGAGAGACCCCCGTGTCGGAGAAATTCTCAATGACCACGACAACTTTGAGATTCTCGACGTGAAGATTTGTAGCGTCAGGAGCCAGGCAGATTGGATCATCAACGCAAGGGTGGCTGACCAGACAGTCTTCTTGAAGGTGGACATGGGCTCTCAAGCTAACTTGCTGCCCAACTCTGTCTATCGAAATTGCATGGACAAGGCAAGCTTGACGCCAAGCAGCTCCGTGCTTCGAGCACACAACGGAGACGTCATCAAGCACATCGGCGTAGCGAGCCTACCAGTATTTGCGAACAGTCACTCGGGAGACATCGACTTCTGCATTGTCAAGAAAGGCAACCAGGCAATACTCGGACTGCTAGCAAGCGAGGCGCACGGACTTGTGTCTCGCTCTGTGGATTCTGTGAACAGCAGTGGCACCAACAGAATTGTAAAGGAATTTCACTCATTGTTCGAAGGCACAGGCTGCGTGACACGACAGTACCAGATGATCCTGCGAGAGGACGCGACACCGCTGGTCTAGCCGGCACGACGGGTGGCCCTGGCACTCCGAGAGCCCCTTCGAGAAGAGCTGGAGCGCATGGAACGGGGAGGCATCATACAAAAGGCCAACAAGCCAACGGACTGGGTGAGTCCCCTCGTCCTCGTACGAAAAAAAGACGGCAAACTCCGCGTTCGCATTGACCCCAGACGTATTAACGATTGTCTAAAGCGCGAACACTGCCCGATGGCTAAGCGCGAGGACATTGAGGCCGAACTAGTGGGGGCCAGACCCTTTCGCGTCTCGACGCGAACTCTGGGCTCCAACAAATTTCCTTAGATGAGGCCACTTCGACCATTTGCACGTTCGGCACGCCTTTCGGGCGTTACCGGTTATTGAGGCTTCCCTTCGGGATAGCATCGGCACCTGAGGTTTTTCAGAAAACTGTAAGCGAGATATTTGACTCAGCCCCGGGAGTACGTGTGCACATTGACGATATTTTGATCTGGGAAGCAACGCAAGAGGAGCACGATGCGCGCCTCCGAAACGTATTGCAGTTGGCCAGGCGGGCTGGCTTGACCTTCACTGCCGCAAGTGCAAGTTTGGGCTAACCGAGATCCACTACTTGGGCGACGTCATAAGCCAGGAAGGGATAAGGCCAAGCTCCGCGTTAGTCACGTCGCTAGGCGAAATGTCGTGCCCCAGGGACAAGGGGGCCGTGCATAGGATGCTTGGAGTAGCCAATTACTTTGGAAAGTACTTACCGAATTTAGCGGCAAGAACAAAACTTTTGCGTGGTCTCATTCAAAAAGACACAGTCTTCGATTGGACGGACAACCACGCCAAGGAATGGAAGGAAGTCTGCGTAATGCTTACTAGCGCGCCTTTGCTGGCTATCTTTGATTCAGCCCGAGAAACAAAAATCTCTTTTGACGCGTCAAGAAATGGGCTGGGAGCCGCACTCCTACAGCGTCACGGCGACAGCTGGCGGCCTGTAGCTTACGCATCACGGGTTATGACAGACCCAGAACAAAGATATTCGCAGATTCAAAAGGAAGCGATGGGTATCACTTTTGGCTGCGAGAAATTTCACGACTTTGTGTATGATCGTAACTTACTAATCGAAACAGACCACCGGCCACTGATAGCGATTGCTTCGAAAGGAATCGGTGACATGTCTCCGCGACTTCAGCGTTTTTTCCTGCGTTTACTTATGTACGATTACGCCCTTCAATTCGTACTAGTAAAACTGCTGCTCCTCACCGACATGCTGTCAAGGTCATCACCAGTGAAGACTGGGGATACCGCCGGCTCGACCGAAGATGTGGAAGTTCATGCCCTGATCGTGGTCGCGGGCTCGGTAAGCGAAAAGATCTTGAATCGCCTGGCTGAAGCGACCGCAAAAGACCCGGACTTGCAGTCATTCATACGCTACATGAACGGCAGCGGTGATGTGGAAGGCCAACTGAAACCACTAGTTTCCGTGTTATCACTTGTTCAAGGAACTGTATTGAAGGGGAGCAGAGTGGTGATCCCAAAGTCCATGAGGCCGGAAATTCTTAAACGAATCCATGAAGGACATTTGGGCCTTAGCAAGTGTAAAGCAAGAGCCCGACGCTTGGTGTTCTGACCTGGGCTTAACTCGGACATTGAAACTTTGCTGCAAGGCTGCGCCGTGTGCCGAAAGTATGCGTACTGACAACCGAGCGAGCCTCTTATAGTAAGGTCAACGCCAGATCACCGATGGTACAGAGTTGGGATTGACCTCTTTCAGCATGGGGGAGTTCGTACCTGTGTGTATCGGATGCGCTTTCTAAGTTTCCGGAGGTGGAAAAACTAGGGGACACCGCGGCACGCGCCGTTATTTCAAAGTTGAGCGCTATATTCTCAAGATACAGAATCCCGATGGAAGTGTGCAGCCCGACAACGGTCCGCAGTTTTCATCTCATGACTTTGCCGTTTTTGCTTCCAGATACGATTTCAAACATGTGACGTCGAGCCCACAGTTTCCCCAATCAAACGGACTCGCCGTAAAAGGGGTGCAGATTATCAAGCGAATCCTGAAGAAGACTGAAGAGGCCCACGAGGTCTTCTGGCTTGGACTGCTTAGCTACCGGTCCACACCACTAGAAGATGGTCGATCGCCGGGAGAGCTGCTACAAGGCAGAAGGTTACCCGGCCGACTTCCTGACTTCAACCAACTACCACGCAGGTGTGTTTTTGAGCACGCGAAACTGGCCACGCGAGGAAGGAGTCTGACCGAACTCAAGAAAGGGGAGGTCGTGAGGGTGAGAGACAAAGTGTGGGGCCTGCAGAGAGCTCCTGTTTTGTGTTCAGAGGCACCAAGATCGTATCGGGTTGTTACCGAGGGCAACCAAGTTTTTCGACGCAACCGACGACATCTTCTTGCAACAGGCGAGCCCTTTAGTGAAGAGGCTGCCGAAATCGTTAACTCGGATAGTGACAGTCCTTCCGAGGCAGTAGCTGCGGCAACACCACTCTCCTGCCACAAACCCACCAACGCCGCCGGCTGACAAGCGTCTAACACCTGCGGCTCCGAGGCGATCCACACGGCAAACCCGAAAAGCAGAGCGGCTGCAGTACGATCACAACTTGGCACAACTTCAGCGTATTTATAATTGGAACTCTTAATCGCATTCGTAGACAGAGGAAAATGTATCCTGCAAGTCACGTCTACGTTGAATGTAAACCGCATTGTCATTTTTCCTGAGAGATTAACATGAGCCACGTGCCTAGTATCTGTACTGGCAGCGTCGGCCTATATTACTAATTGCTTACCGAATACACTTGGTTGTTGACTTGCTACAGCCTGTCGGATACACACAGTGACCATATAACAAATAGCGAAAAAGAAGTTCGCGTTGGTCACTGTCCTCAAAATCAATATCGGCGGGACACGCTAAGCGATCGCCAGCGATACAGCTGATTGCTGGTGAGACTAACAAGCACAAAGAGCGAGCAAACCTCACTTGCGCGGCCGTTGCCTAGTCTGTTCTTGCTTTATCGCACAAAGTAAAGCCGGCGAGAATTCAGTGGCGTAGCCTGGGGAAATTTCAGCCCCCCCCCTCCCTCCTCCTCCCCCCCCCCCCCCCCAAAAAAAAAAGACAACCCAACCGACCCTATATTGACATTTGCAAGTACGGCCTCTGGGCTCCGCCATCTTGCGGCTGATGTCGGTTGACAGTATGCAAACAAAGCATTGCTAAGGCGTACCTGATAGTCAACCATTGTTGGGGCGTACCCAGAGTTCAGTAATGCTTGACTATCGGACAATCTACCTACACGAGCAGCAAGATGGACGCGTCCAGAAGCTGTACTTGCAACCGTCTGCAGACCTCGGAACAATACATATCTGTCTCCTGTTTTTTTACGTTTTGTTTTCTTCGTATTGAATAAACTTGCCGTAGCTTCTGTTTCTAGGCAATGCAGCCGCCAAAAAAATTCAAAAAATGTGAGCATCGTTCAACCCCATAATAATTGTGTTGGGTGTATGTTTATACTGCAGGAATTTAGTCATCCCAATGGGCGTCTGGTTCCTCAGCTGTAGATGAGAACCTTTCCCGAGCAGTACCGCCGCTAACCTCTTAATATGCACCAAGCAGCTGGGAAACATGACCGGGGCTCTGGAACGCGAGGCTTTGCTCCACGTGTTCCAATCTGGTGTACGGTAGCCGACTTTGGAAACTGATCTGTCTCGTCCTGTCTCGTCTTGGTCCTGATTTTCCGAGACAATCGAAAAGGCTCTCTCAAATTGCGCTTGGCCAGTCGACAACAACATATGGCGGCGCCAGCCACCCCTCCTAATGTAAAAAAGGGAAGCCCCAAGGCTGCGACACAGACAGCCGTCCAACCTAAGCAAAACCTGTTCGCACCGACGCTATCGCATTGTTGTTGAGCTAGATGTACCGGGATTCCCTGAGAAGAGAGAACTGTGCTATTCTGCCCGGGTAAATCAACTATGCATCGCAGAAAGTTTATACTCCGTGAAAATGTGACGCTAGTGGCTGGGACCGAACGCGAAAGCTTGAGGGCATAACGTTATTTGGATCAAAATACAATATATAAAACGAAACTTCTCTATTATCCCGGGTGCACCTATAACGCTAATTTATTCGAAACAAGAAATGACACTGTGGGCGCTGTCGCATTTATTTCATTAAAATAAACAAAAAAAATAAACAATATCCTCTCCCCTTCTCACGACTGTTTCCCCCACTTGGCACATCAGGTGGTGTGGTGATGACGAAAATCCATGCTTGACCACATTACAAAAACAACGAGTTCCCACGAAAAAGAAAAGAAAGCCGCGCGCGCACGAACGCGGCACGAATCTCGCGCCGCGACGCACTCCCAGAAGCGAATCAGCTCGCCGGCTCGGGTTCCTCGCGCTTTTTCTAACGGTCCACCGACTTCCCGGCGCCAGCGGCCAGCGCATCTCGAGGCGCGGGTTCGGAGAGAGAGAAAGCGCGCCCAGACACGT